ATGGTTTAAACTTTAGATACTGCCATGCAGTGGTACAGAGATCCCCTTCTCCACTCTCCCTCCCACTCCATCCTAGGTCACAAAAGGAAGAGCCCAACACGTAAGCAACTTTTAATTCATTTTTATTAAAAACCTAGAGTGTCTCTTAAAAAAAAGCCACTGCTATTGTTTAAACGAGTTTCCGGTTCACAGTTTGCTATGTTAGAATGAAACCAGCAGGACACACACTTCATCGAAAAGATCACTTGTTCACCGCAGTCACTTGCTCCACTACAGCTAGGAACGCAGCTAGATTCTCTACAGTTCACAATGACACCGTTACACACATTAGCAGGCTGTGGCTTTGGGGAGGTAGGCTAAGGAACCTCTCCGCAAGATACAGCCTAACCGCACGGATGCCCCTTGACTGGGAATGGCTGACAAGTTGGGCTCAGCTACCCCAGTGCTTTCCCCTTTGAGATCCAAGTGTTAGAGAACACAGGCCCATCCCCTTGAAGTCTGCCAAGTCCAGCTGGCTGAGGGGCAGCAGGCTGCACCAAGTTGCATGGCTGGGTTGACATCTGGCTCCTCTAAACTTCAGTAGTGAGTTGTGCTTAGGCCATGGCAGGAAGCCTGCTGCCACCTCTCCATGGGCTGAAGTCATCCGGCAGCATTGGGGTTCCTCCAGCGAGGAGCTTCCCAGTGGAACTTTATGGAAAATGCTCAGAGAGCTTGGTGCCAGCCGTGGTGCACCTGAGGACCTCGGTGGGCATGGAGGAAAGCACCAGAGAGGTCCCTGCCATTGCATCCAGCCCAGTGCTCCCCTGGAGCCAAGCAGCACCGAAGAGGGACTGAGCTGTTATGGTGGAGATGGCACCATGGTGCCTTCCTCTCTGCCACCAGGAGTCTGGACCTGGGCAGAGTCTCCTTGTAACCCAGCCTGCCCATAGACACAAGCAGCTAGGGATTGCTAGGATGCATGGCTACCACAAAACATGCCCCCTTGCCACAGGCTCAGCCCCTGCAGGAGCAGAATTCCCAGCCCCCCTCCAAGCCTCTCCACCCCACTCTGCCTATGAACCTCCCCAACCCCCTGCACCCAGCCCCGACCTGAGGATCCAAGCCTTCAATCCACCCCCACCCCCCGGGCCTCTTTCAGCTACTGGAGTTGCAGCTGGCCAGCGGCAGTTAACTGAGACAGCAGATCTGTGCATAAAGGCTACACCCACAGCAGCAAAAAAAAAAAAAGAAACTAAACAACCACCCCATATCCCCACAATGTAACAGCTGGAACATGAGCCAAGGCCTCCGCTCTCTTCCAACGCAGCAGGCAAATCATGTCAGAAACCACCCCCCATGCATGCAGCACCCCCCCTTCCCCATCGTCCATCAGCCCAGCTCCACGAGCACAGGAGGAAATTAGAGAACATTCATTGAAGAGTTGAGTCCAGTTTTAAGGCCATGTCATTCTTCCTCCCCTCCTCCTGCCACAGGCTAGACAGATCATGGACTCAACTGACCCACCATGGCCCTGAGAATGTCTTTGAGGGGGAAGAGCCACTGGGCAAGGAAAGCCCTGCCCCCCATGGCTTCGATTCTTCCAGCCACACCATAGGTGGTTGGCACTGTTCTCCTGAAGGAATGAGGCCTCCTGTAGCAGCGGGTGGGAAGGAGGTGAAGAGATGGGCTTGGCTGTTTGAGAACTGGCTGGGAACTGCCAACCCCTCTTCCAAAGAACCTGTAGATTGTAGATCTGTTATGGAGGCCACCAGGGCTAACAAATTAAAACGGTCTCTTAGGGGACCAGACTCAGGAGGTATATGGAGGACGTGGCGGGGGGGGGGGGGAGGGGAGGGTTGCAAGAGAGAGTTTTGCCCATCCTGCCGTTAACCCTCCACTGCTTTGGCTGCAGGCTCTGGGAGCTCCATGGAGTTGGGGAGGGGATGAGATCAGAATTCAGAAATTTGAAACTGAAGTCAAGGACTCAGGGGAAGCAGCCAAGCCTCACCCCAGCACAAGTTCTTCCAGTTGCTGCCTCTGCCTGGTTACTTAGCCTCAACTTGGGAAGCCACTTGCTCCACTGTGGGCTAAGAGGTAGAAGGAAAGTTCTGCATGGCTGGAACAGAGACACTGGCCACCCCACCACGCTTGGTCCCCCAGAAAAGCCAAGTGAAGGAGAAGAGCAGATCACAGCAGGGATCTAAGCCACAACAGGCAGAGCCTTCACCCAGAGGAGGTGAAGCTGGTGCAGGTGGGGGAAGTCAGTGGAAGGTCTCCACCTCCACCACCGTCCAGTCGCCCTGGGGAGACGAGACGTCCTCGGGGGAGAAGCTGGTGACTGAGGTGATGCTGGCCCGAGACTCATCCAATGGTGACAGCAGGTCTGTCCACTTTCCGAGCTCCACCTCACTCATGACAGGGGCCCCTCTGCCCCCCACAGGTGCCTCCCCAGTGGAGGAGAAGAGCAGAGTCCGGCTGATCAGCTGCTGCATGACAGTTGCTTGGAGGCTGCCCAGATGCAGGGGGGCCTTGTCATGGGGGACAGCAGGGGGGAGCTGGCAGTTCCCATCCTTCTCCTCTTCTGGCACCTGCCCAGGGGTCTCTGCGCCTCCTTCCACCTCGTAAATGGTGGAGAGGATTTCAGGGGGGTAGGGCCCCCAGGAGAAGGGCACCAGGCCAGCCCCGCTCTCACCTACAACAGGGCACAGGAGCATGGGTTGGAGAGAACTGCCCATGGGAGGGGTATCAAGACGGACGAAGGAGAGACAGGGGGCACCAACAGGACAGACTGGCACAGGCACACACAGACAGGCAGGGAGAAGAGTCCAGGCAACATCCAGGGTTAGCCCATTCGATACCACCCCGGCCAGGCAAGATGCCCAAAGCAGATTCAACTAGGAACTGGCTCCTGCTTCCCTGCCTATGGCTAGATCTTCAGGATGCCTCCATGGCAGAGATACCCAGGCTGCCAGCAGCTGCCCAGGAGGGAGGCATGGTCTTGGGGGCAATATCCTAAGCAGAGCAGCTAAGGAGAAGCCTAGATTAGGTCTATCTCCTACCAGCCATGAAGCTTTGATTTAAGCACAATGCAATGGGACCAACCTAGGCACGGCATCCTTTGGCTGTTAAAAAGTCATCTACTGTCTCCATGGCAACCACATCACGGAGGGTGGAGCTGCCCATAGAACTGGGCCTCAGATCTTGGCAGTGGCCTGATCTCTGGGCTAGATCTGTCCAAGGGAAGGTACTAAAGCATCAGGTGCTCTAGTTCTCAAAAACTTCCATCTGTGGACCTAGGAAAGTTCCCTTGGACCAAAAGGTCCAGGAGATGAGGGCTGGTGGGGTCTAGAAAAGTCCACCCACCACATGGTGGTCCAGGGAAGGCTTGAGATGCTCTCAGCCCCATGAAGAACTTCCATGTGATGGCCAAACTATCTCCTGTAGAACCCATGGCAACAGAAGGACTGTGGCTAAGGCCAGATGTTCTAATCTGCTGCAAGGCTACAAACCAAGCGGTAAGATGTCAGCCATGACAGATGGCCACCCCCTAGCCCCCACCCCAAATCTACTTGGCCCTGCTGCCAATCAATCCCCTCCTTCCCCCCCGATCTGCCCTCCACAGTCCAGGCTAAGGGAGGGGTGGTAAGAGTCCTGCACAAAAATACAAAGAACAGGCCAGGAGGTCAGATCCAGATAAGTGACTCTTTATTCAATGTACTGAAAGGCTAAAAAGTTTGGCCCCCAATCCCCCACCCCAAAAGGGAAGAACATTAAAACACAGATGTCTTCCCCCTAGGTGCCAGTGATCATGGGGGAGAGCCTGGTATTTTTGATCTAGACACAGAAAAACGTAGGCTATGACTGAGGGCCTGTACAGAGATGTCAGACCCATCCGGCTAGGTGGGAGATACACTAGGAGAGGAGGGGGGGGGGACCACTGATGGGGGGATTCCCCTTCAGGGGACACTATTGCACATGACTGAGTTAAGCTTTAAGGTACCGCGGCGTTGGCACTTGGACACACACGGCAGGCTCCTCTATACATTACCTGCCGCCGGGCCACGGGGAGTGGTGCCATAGGGCTGGGAGGCCAGCTCCTCCTCGTCCGCCGGGCCCATCTGCAGGGGGCGCTCCAGCTGGCAGCCCCAGTCCCCGGGGAGGGAGATCTTGCCATGCTCTTCCGCCTCAGGGAGGCTGGCCGGCTCTGAGCCCTTGGGGATCTGGTCTCTGGTGCTCTCGGCCGAGTGCTCTTCACTTTCCAGGGAGGAGAGGCCCGGGCTCTTCCCGCAGCTGTCAGTGGAGTGGAGGTGGAAGACGGCGTCGAAGGAGGTGGCCGAGTTGGTGGAGGCTGGCGTCCCGGTGCCGGCGTCACCTGAGCCCAGCTCCTCCAACTCCTCCAGGGATGGCTTATGGGGTGGGGACGGCGCCCGGAACACCAGGGGCTTGCCCATGGCAGGGAAGCCGGGCTCCTTCAGGAGGTCTCCATCCAGCTCCCCCTCCTCCTCGGAGGACACTGTGGGCTCGGTGGGCGGGTCACCTAGGAGCTCATCTGCTGGGAGGGTCTCTGCCTCGTCATCCCCCTTGTCCATGTGGATCCCCAGGTCCTGCTCCCCTGGCAGGTCCTCCAGGGGGCTGCGGGGGAAGCTCTGTTCTAGCTTCTCGTCCGACTTGGACTCCACGCCGGAGCTGCTGTCGTAATCCCGCAGCTCCTCTGGGGTGCTGGTCTCGCTGCTGCTCTTGCCAGCCAGGTCAGGGCCGCTCAGCGTGCTGGACTTGGAGCGGCTCTTGGACGGCCCCTCTGACTCGGCGCTACTGGACGACAGCTGCCCTGGGGGAGGGGGGCGATTGGGCCGGCTCCTGCAGCAGCTCCAGGCTTTTCAGGGGCAGGCTCTGAGGCTTGTGCACAGTCACCTCGGGACCCAGTGGTAACTCCCGCTGGGCACGTGGCTCCAGGTCCTCCAGCACATCAGCCCCACCCTTCAGTGGGGGCTCCCCCTCCGTGGGCCCCACCTCAGCAACGTCTCCAGGAGAACTTAGGCAGGCGCATTGCAGCTCGGCTTCCTCAAGGCTTCTTAAGGTGACTCCGGCCAGCTCAGCACTAGGGAGGGACGTGCCAGGAGAAGCGACACTGGGTTGGTCTTCAGGGCCCTTGCTGTCCTCAGGGAGCTGTTCTGTGGGGGGAACAGCTTCCTCTGGCTCATGCCCTGCACGGACAGGCTCTCCGCTGAGCCCCTCTATCCCCTGGGAAACCGCCGCTGCCTCCTTTGGACTAGTCACTCCTTCGGGATCCAGATCCCCCATCTTCCCAGAGCCCCGGCAAGCACCCTGGGTTCCTCTCTCCAAGGGAAGAGCATCCTGGGTCTCCTGTCCACGCCCTGGCGGGGTCAGAGAGACACTCCCATCCCTCTCCTCTCTCAGCTCCACGGCTCCTGGCTCTGCCACATCTTCTGGGGAGGAACCCTCCAGGCCAACCCGAGGAAGCGAGTCTGTCTCGTGCGTCGACCACTCTGCCTCTGGCTCATCCAGCAGCTCTTCCTCCCACTCTCCCCCTCGCAGCAGCTCTGCCGGGTGCTTCGGTGACCCGCAGGGAGATCGCTGTCCCCCTGTGCCACCCCGAGGGTCCTCTTCGCTGAGGGGCAGCATCTGGGAGGCCCTGGCTGGGCAGGAGGAATCCAGCTGGGCTGGGGCCAGGCAGGTCACGTCTTGAGCTGCTCTTCCTTTGCCTTCCGGCCACAAATCTAGGTGCTCAGCCGCCATTGGGGCTTCCTGGCAGGGCAATGGTTCCCCCTGGGCTGCTGGGCCAGTCTCACAGGGGTCTAGAAGCATAGATGGGGTGTCCACCAGGCTCTGCTCTCCCTGGGGTTGGAGTGTCACATCAGGGAGCTCTGTGCCTGCTGGGGGTAGCATCTCCCTGGGAGGAGAGCCCACCCCTTGTGGTGGGGAGAGACTGGTCAGCTGCTGTTCTGCAGGACAGCTCTCTTGGTGGGATAGAGGGTTGGCAGCCACCAGCTCTGGGCCAGATGAGCCTCCTCCTTCCTGGGGTGCTCCACCTCCAACCACCCCTTCCATGTCCCTGGCAGGTGTTTGTTCCGCTCCCAGCACCTCTGGCCTATAGCTCTCGGGAGCATCCCCATCTGCAGGGACCAGCTTGGGCAGGACCGGGCCCACCTCCGGTGTTAATCCTTTCTCATCCAGAGGTCTCACATCGCCCTCAGGGGCTGCCCTTTCTGTACCAGGCAGGATATCAGGAGAGGCCAAAAGGACATTGGCAGCAGCTTCCTTGGCCTCTCCCTGTCCTAGGGAAAGCAGCTTTTTCCTGGGCACAGGCACTGGCTCCAGGTTGTAGCTAGCCTCTTTCTTAGGGGGCTTCTTGCCAGGGCTCCCAGCGGATAACCTCTTCAGGGTGGAGGCTGCTGCTCTCTGTGGGGTGGCAGGATGGCTGCCCCCTGCCTTGGGAGGTGTCTTTGGCCCCTTTGGCTTCTCCAAGGCCTTGGGAGTGGCAGGAACTGGGTGGCTCTTGGCCTTGGGCTCTGCCGGGAGCTTGGCTTTGGAAGTCTTGGCCGGGCCAGCAATCTTGTTGAGGGTGGGGTTCGAGCCAGACAGCCGGGCCCTGGAGACGGGGGCAGCTCTGACGAGGTCTGTAAGGGACAAGAAAGAAGCCAGGTCTCAGGGCCAGGCCCTAGATTTATAGCCAATTGGAAGTGCCTTCTGGGGTAACAGCCAAGCCAACAGAGGGCACTGTGAGCTGCTGCAGCACCCTGGGAAAGCCACTGGCTCCCGCTAGAGTGGCCCAATTCCCACCTCACTCCATGGGGCAAGGATAGAGCAGGCTTTAAGCCACCTTGGTGGTGGTCCTAGTGATGGCCCTGTCCCCAGAGTAACTGGGAGCAGCCACAGGGCTGCTCCAACTCATGCACTGCCTTTGGAGATGAGAGAATATCCCTAAGTGCAGTGCACTCCAGCTGCATTCCTAATGCCCAGGGCTGGGCGCAGAGCCCTGGGGTCTGCTCCATGCTGGCTGGGGTCCCCATGTCCCCAGCATGGTGGGCGGGGGGAGAGACTCTCCGAGGAGCTGAGTCCTGAGCAGCATGTAGGGGCACTGGGGTAACAAAGTGCGGGGTGGAGCTCGTTCCTCAGACGTCCCACCACCGGTCGAGTGAATGACAGCAACACGCTGCCCTTTGCTACAGCAGATGGGCTACCCCCACTTCTGCCCAGAGTCGGGGCAGCCCGGTGTCCAAAGCAGGCAACCTACGAATACACCTCGCTCCTTTCCCCAGGCACCCTCCCATGGGATCCAACCAGACAATCTCAGATGCCCCGGCTGCCCACACTGTGGAGTCACCGTAGCTTGCTGGTGTCAGATCTAAGCCACCAACCAATGCTTAGTCGTGAGGCACCTGCACCTTTCTTTGCAGAGGCGGTGTTTTTCTGCTGCTGTGGTACTGCTGAGGCCTGGCCACCAGGTGGTGCCATCTGTTTAGGTTTGGCCATGGCTGGTTTGTTACTGGTCAGGGCTCTGGTGGAGACCTGTGTGGTGTCCTTCGTCCCTGGAGCAGGGAGTCTGAAACCAGAACAGAGAGGGGTGAAGAGATAGAGAAGCCACTATGTGTTTGTCTCATGCAGTCAATAGAGACGGGTCCATGTCATACCCTGAATACCTAGCTCTTCTACACACTTCTCCCACACAGAGCTCGAAGCCCTGTTCTCCCCACTCTACAGATGGGGAAACTGAGGCACAAGGCAGGGCAGTGACTTGCCCAAGGTCACCCAGCAAGTCAATGGCAGAGCTAGGAATAGAACCCAGGTGGCCTAAGAGCCAGTCCTGCGCTCCATCCACCAGAGGGACCAAGCTGGTACAGCCCAGGGGATGCCAGGACAAACTCCCCCAGTGCACACACTGCTGTACCACAAAGGGACCGCACAGTACCAGCCTGCAGGGCTTGGAGACGGATATTCCCCACCCTGACTGGCTGACTCCTTGCTCCCCAACTAGCTCGAGCAGAGGTTCCTGTCACTGTAGCATCTGAGCACCTCACCTTCTTTACTGCTGTTACTCCAATGTACCCAGGAGGGGAAACTGAGGCAAAGGGGACAAAGTGACTTGCTCAATCTCACACAGGGAGACTGGTGGTGGTGCTGGGAATGGAACCCAGGTGTCTCGAGTCCCCAGCTAGCGTTCTAGCTACTGGGCCATCCTTTCCTTTCTCCACCTAGAGGCACTTGGTCACCTGCCAAACAAATCCAAGCCATCCAGGCCCTTCGCCAACACAGCCCGGAAGCTTAGGGGATCTGAATGGAGGCCACGTTCTGCAAGTAGAGGCTCACCCTCTGGAGAGCTCCGACTGGTGCCCCTCATCACCCCCTTTGTCTTCCAGCTGCAAACCTCCTCAGCAGGCAGGACCTACCGCTGCTGCAGCGCCTCTGAACACAGCTGCTGAGTCCATCAGTCTCAGGGTTACACTAAAACCCCTTCTGAACCACAGCCCATTAGCCCCACCAAATCCACACTGAAGGGTAGCTTGCCAGGCCTCCCCGCAGTGCTGGGCTCAGGGTTTGAGAGAGAAAAACGTGAAGAATGTTTGAAGTCACAGTCAAAGCAGAGTTTCCTGCTAACCTGCCGGGTGCAGTGCTGAAAGCCCTCTAGCCCAGGGGTGGATAAACTACGGCCCACAGGCCGGATCTGGCCTGTCAGGGCTTTGGATCCTG